TGTTCTAACTCGTGAAATTTGATCTCATATCTTTTATATATTTAGATGAGTCGAGCTAGAAAGACTATTCAAATTTTCTTATTAAACAGATCGAACAGACTGAAGCTTACACAAGCTGAGTTTGAGCTCATATTTTTGTTTAATCTATTAAATAGTCGAGCTGATCCGACTCACTAATTGTTAAACTATCACAAGCTTAAATATGAGATATTCAACTTGATTTGACACGGATAACACTTCGAGTGGAACCATATAATTTTTTATACCTCTGTCTCTCACACACGCATATATAGGCAATTTACATTTTAAAATGAATAAAATAATTAATATTTTGCTCTACAAAAGACATAACTTCTTAATTTTGGTAGTTTAAATGCTCAACATTCTTTACACTTACAAAACTCATTGATGATTGTCTCGATATTAACACAACTACTATAATTGGTAGACTGACTAATTGTTAGACAAATATATTTTCTTGCAAAAAATGCGTTGTTATACTACTATGAATGTCATATTTTTATTTGTATTGCACTATAAAGTATGACATTTAATTATGAAAGTATAAATATATTTGTTGGAAGACCATGGTTGCCTAACTATTAAGTAGCCAAGAGAAGGCCTATTGCGGTATTAATAATTATAGCAATACTCTTTCAAACCATTAATTTACATATGTTGCATGTTCTTCTATTCCATATTTACTTTTAAAATTTTTTAATTGTACGTGAGATGAAACACAAAATATTATAAAACAATATTGAAATGGTACTTACAAAAATCGATTTAGTAAATAGAGACATACAATAGTGTGTAATAATTATAGGAATGCGTATAAATTAAATACTGTTTTATGTATATTTAATCTATATATATATATATTAAATAATTTAAGTCTTTAGACTATAAATTGAGACTGAAGCTGTCGACGGCGCGGATGGTCGCGGTCGAGGGGTTGCTACTGTGTGTGTATGTGCGCGTGTATGCGCCTATAGAGTGTGTGCGTGTGTGTGTGTTAGTGCGTGAGAGAATGAGTGATGGGGTCCACCGGTGAGTTGGTGTTTGGGATTGGGTATGGTACTGAGTTGGTGTTAGGTGGTGCACACAGTTGGTTGGGTAGGTACTGAATTACCACACTATCCTTAATGTGTTTAAAATTTCCATTTTTTTTAGCTATTGAATCATCCGAGCCAATAATTAAAATTTATTCTTATTTTTATCACTGAAAACCATTCTCATCGGAGCGCGAGAATTTTTGTTGAATGCACTAAAGTGCTTTACGTTGATCAAAAGTGTGGACATGTAATAACTTTGAGTATGAACAACAAAGCAGCACTCTTGACAGCAAGGATATATATAGTCAGAATGATCTTCTATAAGTAAAGAATCTTTTCATGCTTGATTAGTTGTATATATTGGCATTTCAGCAAACGTCGTTACCTTTAGCAATAACTTATTATTATTTATTTTTTAATCTTCTATCCAACATAAGATCAATATATAGGAACGGTCCCGTTACGGAACCATTCCGTCGGGTTTGTAACCGTTAAATCATCATGTAACCGTCAGAGATATTTGATCTAACGGTTACAAATCCCGAGAGAATGGTTGCGTAACGGGACCTTAGCATTTCCCCAATATATATGTACATTTTCACTCATATTTTACATGTTAATTACTGTGATGTATGGGTTCTGCTTTCGGTGATGCATTTATGTCACCAGTTATGGTGATTAAATTGAATTTATAAGATGGACACTTGTAGAAAATATAAAAAGACCATTGGACTAGTCTTAAATATTACTCCATCCGTTTCAAATTACATGTCGTTTTGACTTTTTTTATTCATCCATTTTGTTATGTGTCTAGATAACAATATGTCTAGATATATTGCAAAATAGATGAATCAAAAAAGTCAAAACGACATGTAATTTGAAACGGAGGGAGTACGTGCACAAAAGATGACCACAAGATTAATATAGTCACAAATGAAATTTACTTTACATTTAATGACATCTAATGGGGGTACGTACAATCTTGTCAGATAATGCTCCAACCAAGCAAGAAAGGTATTTCGACAATCTCCTTTACTCATAGAAAGTCATGACACTAGAAAGCGTAAAGTTGGTAAAGAATTATTGAAATTATAGTAAGGATAAATGTTACAGTCTCGTTACGGAACTATTCTGTTGGGGATTGTAATCGTTAGATCATCATGTAATCATTGGGTTAGTTGATCTACCGGTTACAAACTCCGACAAAATAATATTCTTATATTCAATCAAACGTCATACTTTAAAATACAAAATAAATAAAAGTATAATATTTTATATTGTAATGTATTTTTTTTTATAAGAAATTATCAGTGCCTAATAGTTAGATAGCTTAATAATAGAATTTGGGTAAGGTCTTGTTAGACATTAGCCAAACTATTTTGAGAAATCTAACATGGGTCATTCAACCATCAGGTACCTTCCACTTCAAGAAAATGATAAAATTTCAACGGAAATTTATTTTAATAGAATGATTCCAATGGCAATTCCAACGGATATTTCAATACTAGTATTTCCGTTGGAATTTTTCAATGGATTCCAACGGAAATTCCAACAGAAATATTCCGTTGGAATGAGTTTTCCATTGGAATTTTCGTTGGATTTTGACGATTCCAACGGTGGATTTTCCAACGGGGGTGGAAATAAAAATTCCAACAGAAATTGCATATTCCAACAGAAATTCCTACGGTAAAAAACCATTGGAAATATAGCCATTGGAATCACTAAATTCCATCTAAAATTCCAATGAAAAACACATTCCAACGGAATATTTTCGTTGGAATTTCCGTTGGAACTATTCCAACGGAAGCTATACCATTGGAATATCCGTTGGAATTTTCATTGAAAAATATTACCATAAAATTTTCTGTTGGAATATAACAATTTTTTTGTAGTGTTCCTACATGTCTCGTACATACTTGACAGCTAATACTCCTTGAAATTACAAAATGTGTTCTTATAATTCCTTAAATTAATATTTTAAGAAAATATAATTTATTAAACTATTTAATTACCATTAAAACTTTTTGGGACTAAGTTTTCATATGATACTCTAACTTAACATCATTTTTGCTTTTGGTACCCGAAGTTTTATGTAATCATTTTTGGTATCCAATGATTCGTCTGTTGGCCACCGAACTTACCTCTTATTTACGAGGTGACGAGCAGACATAATGGCGTAGTGAAAATGTCCAAACTCGGCCAATCATGCAAGGTGGCAGGATTTCGGAGGGACTCGGCTATTACTGCAGACCTAGCCTCTTCAGCAGCCGACGTACGCACTTATTACTGATGGGACGTGTAACTACGCCTCGGTCGGGGACACGCGTCCACTCTACCGTGATCAGATTACCTTCGAGATTTGGAGTTAATCATTGTGCATTAAATAGGAGAATAACAACCAGATTTGGAAAGGATCTTGTACTACACACAGTTGTAGTACACACACATGAATAGTAGGCAGTAGTACAATTACTATAAATATAAGCATGTACAATGACGGAGGGATCTTTTGGCCACCTGAAGATATGGTTAAAAGATTCTAGTCAGACTCACAAAGTCAGTTCAGCTCCCGCAACAGAAATTAATAAAATTACTTTATTTTTCTCGAAAATTGTTGACAACATCGTCAATTAATCATTTTATGTCCACACTGTAAATTTTCCGTCAAACGTTCGTCCAATGACCTCGAACAATATATAGTAGAAATAACAGAAAATAATAAAAAAAAATTGAAAAAGAATATATAAGAAAAAAAGACACTTCAACTTGAAGAATCGTCAAAATATCAAATTGATTAATAGGTATTGTAACCCACGATAAGGGGAACAAAATGAAAGCTCACCCATGAAATTCGGGCAATCAATTTGTCAGAAAATGTCGGCTGAAATATCCGTCTCCCAACTGCGCAGTGTCGAAAATATAGAAATTTCAAGAGCGTTTTTTCGACTGTTGGAAGACTCAATTGACGACTAGAAGATATCATTGGATTTTTTATGAAAAGAGCATTGTATACATATACGTTCCATGAAGATTCAACAGTCGGATCTTTATTGACATTCTGACAAAATTTAATGCTTAGTTGTGTAATATTTTTTAAACTTTAACAATGATTTAACAAAGTTTGAGGTATCCTATGATGAAATTAAACATGTTGCTGGAAAGATTGAGTCGATAGTTTCGAAATAATATGTGATTTGTTGAAATTCACCACTAGTAAGCAAGAGCCGAGCGACGGCTGATGACGAATCGACGAGAGGTAGTTGGATCTTCAACTCGGATACACTTTTAATTTAACATCCCCTATTTTTGAGCTATTTTTATTCTTGTATACCTGAACTTGAAATTAAAGTAATAGTATAATATGTTTTCACTTGTACGAGGTGTACAAGACAATGTAAAAGGCAATCAAAATATATATTTTTTTTTTTTTTGCCTCGTACATTC